TGGGATTTGGAGTATGCAGATGACATCGCCGTAATCTGCGCTTCCTCACAGGCCGCCAAAAATGTTCTGTGTAGGTTGGAGACGTCTTTCTCCCAGTTTGGAATGATTGCACCATCGAAATGCAAGGTTTTCCTGCAGGACTGGCTAAGTGCTGCTCCTGACCTTACACTTCTAGGTCATTCATGAAAAGTGGTGAACAAGTTCGTTTACCTCGGAAGCTGTTTCAGCGCTAATGTTTTAACGGATGAAGTCTTTGCGCGTCTCCAAGAATCGAGTTGCTTTCGCCAAACTCGGCCATCTCTGGCGTCGAGGTGATCTGAGTTTAACTCGGAAGGGCCGAGTTCCCATTGTCACAGTGAGAGCGGTTCTCCTCTATGGCTGCGAGACGGCCTGTTCGCGCAAAGGATGTTGAGTGGCTGTCTGTTTTGATCACCGCTGCCTTCGGAGCATTGCTGGTGTACGATGGCAACATCATGCTAATAATAATAATATTCGACGAAGGATTTTCAAATCAGACTTTGCCGGCCACTGAACAGTGTAATTTTTGCGCAGATTTCAGTGGCTTGTGCACGTACTCCGCATGTCTACTCATCGCTTACCTCGCCGTGCCCTCTTCGCGCACGCAGAAATCGGCTGTAAGCGAAAGCAAGGTGGCCAACGTATGACTTGAGCCAGGAGCATGAAGGAGCTAACGTCAAAGTTAGCCGTGGTCGGGTGCTTTCGACGCCGCGGCTGGAGTGTGAAGGATTCGGAACAAACATGGCTGGAAACGCTTTCGGATATGGCGAAAAATAATGCACAATGGCGGACTAGTGACTAAATATTTCCATGAACATCGGTTTTTTCCCTCTATCTTCGTACTTTTATTGTATTGTCCATACGTTGTGGCACTATGCCAACTGTACTATTGGCCGTGTCGAATATATATATATATATATATATACTTTTTATGTGATAAAGAAATTCGTTCAGTTGATAATAGAATTCATCTTTCACCAAACCAGCATCACAATTTGTGGTTGCGTATGCCGCAACGACAAACGGGCACCGTTCGTCAACGCGGGACTTTGAAGCATTGAACGAGCTAGCCAATCTGACGGCGCTCATCTGGCTGTTCATATGGATCCAGTCAACCAGAGCAATGGCAGCTCGGGAATTTAGAGCAATGTTCGCACCGACTTGACCAGTATTTGAAGCTGCGTTATCACCAAACAAACGCAAGGAGAGCGCCTCGCTAGTGGAGCATCGCAGGGAAGTCACGTAACTCGCATCTTGCAGGCGGGTTTCTGATAAGCAGCAGATGTCGGTCGATAGGGTCTCTAGCGTTCTGGTAAATGCTGCATGTTGGCCAACTTGCAACAGTGCGTAAGATGAGACATATCAGTGGTAGCGAAGATTGCCGGCTCCAAATAGAAACTGATGGACTGACATTAGCCGCTTGGTTGAATGTGGACTCGTCGACTGGACTGCGGCGACGCGCAGTAATCCCGTGAGTCGAAACTTGAAGACTATCGACCATTGAAACAAGATGGGGGGAGGCAAAGAATTGGGGAATTGGACACAAAGGGGATAAAAGCGAAGTTGAAAGGGAAGGATGAGGATGTAAATGTTGGAAGGCTAGTGCATTAGCATCCATATCCCTATCAACCCTGACCAACGAAGCAGATAGGGCACCGTTTATTATTCTTTGCGACGGCCAGAGCATCCAGAAATCGTATGGAGAGTAGTTCATATAGATACATCGCGCAAGTAGGATACTGTCAGGCTGACCAAGCATAGACAGAAGAAGCATTTGCGTTCTTGGCTAAAGCCTTTGGTTCAAAAAGCTTACCGCAAGGCAGCAGGGTTTTGGCACTGGGCTAGAGTCCGTTTAATAGAGTAAGGAGCCAACATCACTTTAAACCCCAACGTGGAGGGCCAGGAGACTGGGTTTGTTTGGCCTCTAGCCACTGACCAATATAGTATGAGTAGCTCTGATGGCATTAAAAGCACCACCCAGCAAAGCGCAGTTAGTCGCGGAGGCACGTAAACCATCGCCGCACGTTAAGGCCCAGTCTCGAAGCGGTGGAAAGCGCTGGTTGGGTCAACTAAACGCACCTAAGCATTACCGCAACAAGCTTCACTATCGAAGGGGACAAATATAAGCTAGCACTGCTGGAGCGGGTGGCACCAACATGTCCTCAATGATTATGGGCATAGGTGAATATTAGACAGTTATAACTATGATAATTCCTTAAAACAAAAGACAGCACTGAATAATTTGCGTAAGCTTGGATACGTAATATGTATGCCAGGTCACCGCTTACCGAGGGCCCTGTTTCGTCTGCCAGATGTAGGGAGGGGCAAAAGTTGACTTAGCAGCGGATAATGAACCGACGACCAAACTGGGCGCCGCCGGTTGGCCAAGCCTTTCAGGCTGGATTCTACGTGACTCGCCTTGTGCTTGGCTCGAGAGTTCACCGGACATGGCTGGCAGTCGGTATCAGTGGCGCATTAGTTGTCGTCCCCTTGTCGGATTGCCTGTTTAAAATGTGGTGCTGAGTTATCTGCGGGATAATGGCTGATTAGAACAGGGCATTGAAAGCTACTAGGAAGCTGTTTCACTGATGCCGCTTTATCTTTGCACGATAGCCAGTTATTTGTGATTGTATGTTGTTGACAAGGTGTAGACTCCTTAACGCTAAATGTTTGCTTAGGGCATTAAGGTTTTCCGGTAAGTCCCCATCCTTTCTCCTTTACTATCTTTCTTTAAGTAGGTCGTAGTGGCTGTACTGCTGCGAAACATCCACACAAGACTGATGTACTGCTGCTGGGGATTATGACCGCCAAAGCGGAAAGAACGCCTAACTCAGATGATCCTCCACCATCATTAAAGAATAAGAAAACTGACCTGTTGGCGACTGCCTGACTCAAAACCATTTGGCAAAATAAAGAAGCGCCCTCCGACTTGAGGCGGTCAATCGGCATCGCAATCTTTAAAAAGAGCCAAAAGACAACTAGTAAAATTCATCGTTACATCAACCTGATCCTTGTTGTATTTAAATCACTGACGCGTATCATTCTACGGTGACTGTTTCTCCCACGACAAACGGATCATTAAGTTAGGACCAGTGACCATCCGACGGAGGGCTCCTCAATTATATTTTTACTCATCGGCAGGTGCATGTAGGTTCCCATTCATACAGTTTCTTGACTTGTGGGTTACCTTTGATTCCGTTGATCATACTGGTTTAATCCCGAAGATGTTGGTAAGAAATTTCGTTTCTGATCAAAAATATCTACACTGTGATCATGAGCGACCTCCTATGGTTTCTGTCCGCCTCTGTTGGAGTCGATGATCAGTTTGGTCACCGACTGTTAAACTAACAGTACGTGGGCGTCATAGCTTCGTTACTTACCCATCACCAAATAGGAGAACGCGTAGCGACATAAATTTGGCATTGTTTTTAAATTCTAGTGTTGTGTTGTTATAGGTAGACTGAACTCCAGTTCTCAGTATTTCCGGAGAACCAATCGAAGTCGCCGATTGGCTTACTAGAATAGGTGTATCACCGAGGTGAGTCACTTTGTCTCTCACTTTTTGCTTAGCATTTCCCCAACAACATGCTCAAACTTTACGCGCAATGTGATTATTAGCATTGTTATTTGTTACAGCTTTTTCATCTGTACTGTTTTACCTCTTTTTATTGCGGCACATTAGCTGAGGTGTCTCTCACCGCCGGCTATTGTGTATTGAGGATGATGATGCATCACCGAAAAGTTAATAAAAGAGCAACAGCATTAAGCTGGTACATTGTACCGACGCTTCACTTCCACGCGACCCCCACCAGTCAAGCGAGGCAGGGGTTACCACAAAATAGCCCGCAAGGACGCGGATTTGAATGGACGACGCAAGTATGCAATACTTTCGGCCACAGGTCGTCTACTACAAGAATTGTTAGAGTATGGCTTTTCGGAGCACTGGCCCCATGTGGAGACCGTGGGATAAGCCTAGCGATCTAAACAAGAGCTTATAGCGCTGCGGTATAGCCTGTGTTACTATATGGATCGGAGACCTGACCTGATGTCCGGAAACTGACTGTTTTACCACCGATACCCGCAGATAGCCGCGCGTATCTGATGAGAACCAGGTGAGTAACACCGAAGTCCGTAATTTTATGCCGCCTCCGGCGCTTAATTAAAGTGCCCATTAAATCTGAATCGACCTGGTTGCCACGGCCTGTTAAAAATGCATACGGCTCGATTACTTGCCAACACAGTATAAATTTGGGTAAAACCTCCAAGTGGCCACGCCAGTGGTGCTCCTTCATTTGTTCCCCCAGTACGGATCCTTGACTATGCGCTCTGACACCTCAAGTTCTCGCTGTTGCTATTAGTAGCATAAGTAGTTTGGCGTCATTTATCAAGGCAACTGAAGCACTTGCAGCCTCGTTGTGCGAAAAAAATTGATAAACTGGAATAGTTGAAGCGGCTTATGGAATTATTCTTTAAAGGCAAACAATTGTTTATGCGCACCCACTGCTGTCGTATATTCAGCCGCGCAGGTGAATATTCAATCCATTAGGGATCGCAACATGATAAATCCGTGATTGTTCTTTCTTCTGCGTGCTACTGGACCAATAACACGGCAATTTGGGGTTTTGATAAATATAGAAAAAAAGGCATCACACACTGGTCAACTAACTACTGCCCACATTTCTTGTACACCAGTACCTGTGGGGCTGGTAAGAGAATTAAGAAAGAGTAAATGATAAACTCAGAATGCAAGAGGACACAACTAAATAAAAATAACAAAGCCATGAGAGCAACTGGAAAAAGATGTAAGAAACAATTTAGATAACCGCGGTTAATAGCTAGGATGCTCGATACATCTGAACCAATAAATCACTTCAACACTTCTTATTACAAATCACAACGAAATACTTTGACTGCAAGTGCCATTTAACCAGCAGTACGGATCTTAGTTAACGTACCGAAAAGTATTAAAAGAGAAAACTCACATCGATTCCAAGAAAGTGTGGACAAACCAAAATCAGTCAATTTCAAGTGACCTGTAGCGGTTATTAGGACATTGTCCGGCTTGAGATCGCGATGTATAATGCCGTGGGAGTGAAGGTACTCTAGGGCAATGCTGATTTCGACAGTGTATATAGCCGCATGAATGTCCTTCAGGTATCCAAGGGCCATCAACAGTGTTTTCAGATCCCCACCGATCAGGTATTCCATAACCTACTCGGCGATGTAAAATTCTTGACTGTACTCACCAAGTAAATGTGCCGAAGGGACTGCAGGGAGTAGTAAAGATGGACAATATAGGGACACTTGCTAACCGCCAACGCATTTCGCTCAGCGGTTACTTACAGGTGATTAGAAATGCCATAATACCTTTATCCATAAGATTCTTCCGTTTCATCTCCTCTTTGGAAACGATTTTAATGGCATAAAATTTTTTGTCATTTGCTTTAGTTGCCAGAAACACTTTACTATATCAGAGGTAAAAGGAATAACCAGCGCATTACCCAAAAGCACCTCTACTTATAGGTTTGATAAGATTAAAATCTGATATAGACGGCGCGCGCGCGGATGCGTCCATCAGAACTGATAAGAAACGCGCGCCAACAGCATGCTCATCGACTCCGATGCGGAAAATCAAGGTCAAGGTCTTCACTGTAATAATAACCGATGTAACGAATAAGTGCACATTTCGCTGAATAATCCTAATATGGATACAACAAACCACTAAGAAAGCATGATTTATTTAACTTTATTCCTTTGTTCAACTCAGGTCACGTTTTTAAAACGGATTAACAGCGCATTTAGCTTGGTAGCGGGTTAGGGATTATAGTGCGAATGGAAAAAGAAAACAATTCCACCTCTTATAATAGCCCTGCAGCAGGTGCCTTAGCCACCGTAGATTCATTTTTATTTGTTTATGTTTGGTATCTCATTGTGAAACTTGCTATTGGTGGACCTGCAAAGCCTCCCCATCCGCCAGTACATACAACGTTCTGGAGTGCGCGGTCGACAGCTCCCAGTGTATCCGTGTCAAGGACACGTGCGGGCTTTTACATCGTGGGAATTAAGGGCAAGACAAGTAGTTTCTACGCGGTTGAATAGCAAGTGTCGGAGCTGGACTTGAAGTGCGCCATTATCATTTGTGGCGAACTGGTTGGCGCTTTCACAACTTCCGTTGAAGGACGTAGGATGTGAATGAATGGCTGACAAGGAAACCAACCTCATGTTGTTGCTCTAACAGAATCGGTTACAAAGGGTGAGTTAGAGGGAAGTGGAAATGACCAAGCCACTTTATTTCATACTGGACGTTGTCTTACCTGTTGACTGGTCACAACGACAATCTGACGCCCTCCAGACTGTTACCGAGTGGTTAGATATAGATGCAAGCAACAAATACATAACTGTTACTTCGTTTACTACTATGGTTTGCCAGATGGTGTTTCAGCAAATTTAAAATATTTTTTTTTCATGTCAGTGGTCACCGTGATTACAACTCCTCAATTCCGTTGTTGGTACTATCCGACGGCACCAAATCTCATTCGGAGTATCAATAAGCAGTTGTAATACGTAGTCAGCATAAATCTCGACGAAATGCCATGTAAGCTTCGCACAACGCTTCACGAACACAGCCCAGCCATAAGTCGCCATGATCAGAACTCCCTAATGTTAGCGCATATGGATGCCGAGAACCAATATTTCGAATTAGAGCACGCCAATATCCTCAGAAGGGCTAACAACCGTCAAGCAGTGCGTTCATTGAAGCCTGGCATTCAAACCAGAACTTGATCACTAAGCACTTAGACAATGAACTCGCTTACGAGGCACTGCGAACCAAGCCCCTGAAGCCGCAATGATGATGTTGCCTAGTCAGGCAACGAAAATTCTGCACAACAAACACTCAGCTCGGAGAAGTGCGCAAAATCCGCATCCACGCCCCTAGCTACGGATATTCTCAGTTACTTCAAATAAGTCGCTTTCATCAACGCGCTGAATATCTGGAGTATTCTGAACTGTCTATTGCATTTTGCCCTCTCCCAGACTTAGATGTAAATGACCTAGGCTCCGCCGATCCATTGCCCTGCAACTTTTATCTCAAGAGCATTGCTGGTCATGATTCATCCTTATGAATATCACCCCTATCAGGCTTAACATGTTCATTTCTGTCGACATTCTCTGTTAGCATACCGACCTTACTAATACGGTCTAATGACAATGAGCCGATACACTAGGCTCGTCTCAGCGGTCTCCTTTCCGACAAATGAGACTACACCATTCTCCTTTACGACACATAAGATCGTACCGTTCAACCTTCTGCAGTCCCAAAGGTCTGTGCAAATCATATCGAGAAGGTAGTAGGCTGAAATGCCCATCAATAATGCCTTTTCCTTCCTGACCCTATTCTTTCCTTTAAGCGCTCTGTTTGCATTCCTCCAATTGAAAGGATAACCCTTTCTGCGCGGCCTTGATCTAATTTAATTAAATAAATAAACGTTTATTCTCGGCTATGCGGGGCATGCTCAAAAGGGCCTAATCAAATACGTACAATTACACAGGCATGTTACAGCAACTGTACCAGTGACAATCGGAGAGCGTTCAGACGTCCTATTTGAAAGTGTACAAGCAGGACAGCAGTATAAATGAAGAAAGCCCAAGGTCGTGAGTTCGGGCCCGTTCGTATGGGCACAGTCGAGCTGCCATAACAGCAGTAACAATGCAGACAGGAATAGAGAAATAACAAGAACTGGTCATTTAGAAAAGAGCTGGTGAAGAACACGCTGAATCGTGATTACACGAGGCGCTGGGTCCATGTGAGTGCATCGTAAAGTACAAAGGTGAATGCAGAGAACAATACTTGGCGACGAAATATGCAGACAAGCATGGGTCGTGGCGTATCAAGCGCGTTAGTATGTAGTCCTGATCAGCTTGTCATTGTGAACTTATTGTCTGTGGCTTTATTCAGTGGCGAGGCACCTCCACCTGGTCGCAATGTTGTTAACCGGACTTTTGTGGCTTTTTATAGAAAGAACGCTTGCCATGCGAAAACCCACCGCGTCCTGGAACACTGCCATCAATGCATGCGAACGACAAGCTGCAACTGGCATTGCTTCTTATTGAATGATTATTGGTTCGGTTAGTCGCATTCGGGATAAATCCATACTTTCCGCTTGCTGATGAATGATGGGTGCAGGACTGTATCATCCATGGGTCCTGACACTTCCTGACAAAATGGCACGGCCCGTACGGTAGATAAACTATAAACCAAACATATCGGAATTTACATGCCTGTTGTGCAAATGCTCTCCTTTAGTACTTAGTACTAAATTCTACGGATTGCACCCTTTGAGCTGATATTCTAATCTCGTCTCAATGGTCTCTTTGCTTAAGACTACTATGACCCTAATGACAAGGGATAGGCATACTTATCGGTCTGCTCACATCTCCCTGAGAATATCGTTTGCTTTTCCACTTTACCTCAATACAGCGTTTTCCTGTTCGCACTCTGTTTGCATCGCTGTTTCAGTTGGATTGAAATCCCTTTGGACCTAGATCTAATCTACACTCCGCTGATCAGTCCCCTGTTTCTGACTGCACCCCGACATCCGAGACGTTATTACTCTAGGGCAGTGGTTCCCAACCTTTTAGACGCCGTTACCCACAAAGGGGGTTGCCAACAAGACTTATGCCCCTAAACTTTCGAAAGGCTACTACGTAATAACTATTGCACATTTCGCTCTAAAGTTCAAAAACAAATGTCATATGTAGTTTCACGTGCTCATGCAATTGAAGGAAACACCCCTTCTCACTACATAATTATCCGACTTAAGTACGAGAAGTGATCGGTATACGGAATCTCCCTCGACAAATAAATGAAAGAAAACAGTACTTTTAATACAAAATTCTATGCAAACAAGAGGCGATATACATCAATGAGACGGTTGGTATTGTTTGGTGGTAACAATTTCTGGTATATTTAGTGCAGTTTCGGCCAAAGCACATCGCAAGTCGTGCTCCAAGTTCATTCGTTTTGTTTTTGTTTTGTTTTCATTACTTTTGTTTGCATTACCATCATTGTCGAAAATGCACTTTCACATTTATAAGTTGTTGCAAATGGGATCAATATTTTCAATGCGCTTTACGACAGTAATGGATACTCTTCACCTATCTTTGTCCAAAATGTTACTAGTTGCGTGCTTTGGAAATCTACCTTCAATCCGCTGTCCTCGCGCATTCCTAGGAATTGTACCTTGATTTCGAATTCAGTATCTGGAAATATTCCTTCAGCTACTGTAAACGGTCTTAGCACCCAGACACTTAATTGGCGAGTTTCCAAATAAGGAACAAATTTGCTGATGGAATTCAGCACGGATGACAAGTGGCAAGATATTTCATTCGTGAATGCGCATTTTTCATTTCTTTCAACGAGCACCGTCGTTAGTTCTGGAAATATCGCCACGTCGTCAACATAAACCGAGCGCAGGTAAAGCTGCAGTTTGCGAAGGAAACCGACTACTCTATCCTGAGCGACTAAAATGTTCATCATATTCCCTTGCAGGCGGAGGTTAAGCGCATTGATTTCTCCAAAGAAATCAGCAAGATAAGCAAGTTCCGAAATAAACACGCTGTCCGGTATAATAAAAGGTAACTCGTTTCCCTTACCCTTCTGCATCTCTTTTCTTCGAAGAAAAATTGCAATTTCCTCTCGAAGCTGAAGCACTCGGTGCAACACCCTGCCTCGTGACAACCAACGCACTTCTGTGTGCAATAGTAGCACGTCGAATTTGCCTCCAAATTCATTACACAACTCTTTGAAGATTCCTGTGTGGGTCGTACTACCGCGGATGACATTTACTATCTTTACTACTTTGGTTAACACGTCAAGTAAAGCAGGTGGAATAGTGCTCACTGCTAAAGCGTAACGATGTATGATGCAGTGACTAAAGATAGCGTGCGGAGCAACATTTTTGACCAATGTTTGGAATCCGGAACGGACGCCCAACATGGCTGGTGCTCCGTCTGTACAGACACCCACTAACTTCGACCATAGTAGCATGTTTTCCTCGAGGAACTTCTTTACTATTCGGAAGACATCTTCGCCACGCGGTCGTGCTCAAGGATCCTGAGAACAAGTACTCTTCTTTGAAGCTATCACTTTTTAGGTACCGAACATACACAAGTAGTTGGGAACAAGACGCTACGTCGGTCGACTCATCTAACTGGATTGCAAAGAAAGGACTTGATTTTATTTCGTTGAGCATCGTGTACAAAATTTGTTTACTCGTGTTCTCGATACGACTTTTGATGGTGTTGTTCGAAAGTGGTATCATATTAACCTTCTCCGCATGCTGTTCTCCAAGAACGAGCTTAACCGCATCCATTATGCAAGGTTTGATGAGGTCCTCTTCTATGGTATGCAGGTTCTTGTTTTTGGCGATTCGAAACGCAATGCGATACGAAGCTTCAAGGCCAGCCTCATTTGTCTGAGAAAAGGAGCTCGATGTATCCAGGCGCAAAAGTTTTAGCGCAGGTTCTTTCCTTCTACAGAATGTAATAGCTTTTCCTATCAAATGGGCATGGCTTCGTTCGAAGTGCTCTTTCAATTTACTGGGTTTCATACTCTCC